TTTTTTTTTATATTATGTTACTAACGATAATGAATTAATACGATAATAAACACGTTAAATGCATGAAGGTAATTTTATGTCTAATTAGTAATTAAAAAAAAAAAAATTGTTTATAAATTTGCTTTTGTTCAGAATTCACGTGGTAATATTTAGTCTTCTATGCTTTGTACATTTACACTCTTATCATTGAATTGCCTAAGATCAAAGTAACTTTTATAGTATGTTTGAGAATGAAAACGTTGGGGTAACGCATAAAAGTTAGGGTGAGTTTTAAGTAAAACAATAAGAACACTTCAATGTAATTGTCGTTGTCAACACGTACCAAGTGGATATTGACCGAGTGTTGATGACGTGGGTTGTGAATTTCGGGCAAAAGAACTGCAAGAAGTAAAAGGAATAGAAAATCAAAGCAAGTAGCTATTAAAAACGAAAATAATGAAACGCTATTTCTTTTTTACACCCGCAGTGTTATTATTATTATACATAATATAAAAACGCGCATGAAGAGAACCCAAGGGGACGATTTTATCCAGCCAGAACATCAAAGGCTCGTGTAAACCTTAAGTACAATGAAGGTGTAACTCATAATTCTACGCATGTTTACTCATCATCACGATAAGATCATTTTTTCTTGACGACTAAGCTTCGGGGGAAATATTGATTTTATAAAAATTCTACGTTTTAATTTATTAAGAAATTTGAAAAATCTCATTATTTTGTGTTTTTGAGGTGTTTTAATAATTGGCACTAAGTTAAAATTTAGATATATTTAACAAATATATTCTTAGTCCAATTTCCTGTGTTTTTATCTCGATAAAAAATGAGCTTTATTATCATTAACCCTCTAAACAGTCAAGTAAATTATTATTAGAAGATTTTAAAAATCATGCTATATCAATTATAATTTTTTGCTTTGTATCAAAAAAAAAATAACATAACATCAGTGTCGGATCGGGGAGAGGGTGTCATGGGTAACATTACACTTCATTAAAATAGGTGCAATATTTTTTTTGTCTATCTTGCAAAATAATCATCTTTCAAAATTTTGATGATATATTCGTTAAAATAACACGATTCTATGTGTCTATGAATAATCGACATCAGATTCAATAATATTTAAATATTAATAATTTTAGATACGTTTTAAAAAAAAATTTTTATAAGTAATTTGCATTTGTAAATAGTAAATAATAAAGTTAAATGAAATACGACAAAAATATAAAATTAATCAGTTCAATAATTCATAAATTTTGCATGAAAATTACAATACTAAATTAATGTTACAATAATACAATAACAATATTTTTTTTTAAAGTGGGTGTCATAGTAAAGTAAGTATAATATTATACATGTTTTATGACCAGGGCAAGAAACGATTTGAAATATTGATGAAATTCGATTAAAAAATTGTAAGGTTATCGATATCCATAAAAAATTGATAGTAATTTCTTACAATGCACAATGTATGTTATAAAAATTGAAAAAATATTTTATTTATATAGAAAAAGCAATAACAAATAGTTTTAATACATATTTATTTTTTTCCCAAAAAGATAAGGTTTGTATTAAAATTCTGTCTAAATTATAATGTACATAGAATTAATTAATTCACAGGGTTAATTTTCGTTGATATAAAAAGTTTATCAAGTGATCAAACCTACAGGACGCGTTTATCCTTTAATATAGAGTGAGTCAAGTAAATATTCACTGTATATGTTTTTAGACAAGCTTTACAAATATGCACAAGCACCAAATCTGATATTTCTATGAAATCAAACTACTTTTATTTATTACTTTTAATAATTACACTTAAATTACTTTTAAAAATTCCTGGAATATTTTGAGTAAATAATATTTCTAAAACACATAAATGTTTTTAATAACAGATTTATGTAGAAGAAATTTATCCAAAAAAATTCGCTGAAAAGTAATAATTATCATAAATATGTGATAAAATGCACTGTTGATTTTATGTATTTCCAATATTTTCAGAGTAATAATAACGCGTGTTTGTTAAAATTAAAATTAAATGTAATTAAAAAGTAGTAATTTAAAGTTGTTCATGTACTTTTTATTGATCATAAGTATAACTTCAAATGATTTCAGCTTCGATGCGAAGCTGAGAAGATATTGGTTTTACTATGATGTGTTTTTTTATTGTGTCTGTTACCACTTTTTCTCAGCTCTCACCGAACCGATTTCTTTCAATTTTTTTATATAGATGCATGACCTCTCAATTGGTATATTATTTTTATAAATCTGACCCTTTACCAGCCCATAGGGGGGATTTAAAATGACAACTTTTTCAACTTGACTTTTGATCATTGAAAATGTTCCGGAAAGTCTGACACTTTTATATATATTTTAAATTAAAGCTAATGTAATATACTTTATCATGGTAAAAAAAAAATTCGGACTTTATTTTGTCTTCACGGTGAAAATGACTACCGAATGCTATTTTTGTGTGAAAATTCTCGATTTTATTTTTTACATTTTTAACTTTATAATGTTATAACTTATTGAAAAGTGTATGGATCAACACAATTTTTTTATGATAAATAATATTTTTTAATAATCCCTTTTTCATTCGACATACTTTATCTTAATCAGGATAGTAATAAGAAACTAGCAGGTCATGTAGCTGCTACATTTAATTACAATTATTATTGTAATAAAAAAAAAAGTAATAATCCACCAATTTTTTAAAATTAAACACTATCTAAAGATTTGCATCGAAGCGTTTTTTTTTATAGTGATTTTAAACACTGTCAGATATCATTATACTTGATCCAACTATGCTACGTCACCATTGTGCTGCGACCCCCCTGTGCTGGGTTTTTTTTCTATGTTTCCTTAAAAATTATGCAAATTTAAAGAAAAGGACACTTATTAACGCAATTACTAAAAAAAAACTAAAAATTCTGATAATAAAAATTGGCTATAAGAGAGACTATAAATAATAACTACCATATAAGGGTATTTTCAAATTGACAAAATTAAAATTAAATAAATATATAAGTAAAAAAATTATTGAGATCGATGTAAATTAGCTAAATTAAACTCATAAGAGAATTGAATCACTTTTAAATAGTGGTGTATCTTAATTCTTTTTCGGGTAATAGAAAAAAAAATATAACGAATTAAATTGTTTTTATTATGAGTGATTTTAATCATGTCGTACGTAATTTTTAAATCGTTCCAAAATATATGATTTTTATACATTACTTGTATCTGTGATGATTTGATAATGGATCACAAATAAATTGTATTATTTTCATAATGTATAACACAATAACTAATAAAATTAAAAATTTCTTTGAATATTATAACTGTTTACAAATATTATTAACATTACCTTTATGTAATATTAATGGATTTGCTTTGTCAAAATTACCATCTGATATGACTAAACCTAAGCAAAATATATTGTTGAGAATTGAAACTTTTATGACGAAGTCAAATCATAATATCATCAAATAGTTTTGTATAATTTAGTCCAAGAAAATACTCTGAAAAATAAAAACACCTTACATAATTATATTGTATATTTACACATAGACGATAGTTCAGCATGTTCTGATTAGTCCTATAACTTTCGATGTAATGAATATTTTTCAATTTTTTTTTTTTTCAAATAATTTGTATACTTTTGGGCTATAATAGTATCATTATTTATAATATTTTTTCGTTTAAACATTAAATAGTTTATTTAATTTATAAAAAATGTAAAAACAAAATTCAAGGTGTTGGTGAAAAAATGTTCTTAATATTCAGTAGTTAAATTACTACAGCGTCTTAAAGTTTTAATTTATGTGTTATTTTATAGTATTAAGGATTGATTTAGTTGCATTAAGGAAAATAGAACGCTCAATCATTTCACACTTAAAATTAGTTATAGGTATTAAATTTTTTCCATGAACATATTACCGTTTGAATAATAGCCTATAAATTAAATGTAAAAACGAATATTATCTGTACAGATAGTACAATCAAAAAAATCTTTAAAAATGAAGATTGTACAATCTTAAACTCGTTTTGATATTAGTTTATCAGTATTAGTATTAGATAAATGTAAAAGTTGTGTTGTTACCTTAATAAATTATAAGATATTTCGTTTTAAGATAAATTTTAATTTTTATAAATTTTATTTAAATTTTTATTAGACAAATCTTAAATATTTTTATCATCAAATATAATTTTTAGTGATAAACTTTGATATTACTAATCTAATAATTAATTTATAGTTGTATTCTTTGTTATTTTTAAATTTTAAATTTCTGAGGAATATTAGCTGCTTAATTTAACTAATACTATGCAATTTATCAATTGCTGATTCGAGTTTAATATAAGTCTAAGTGAGTTTTTACTTTTTATTAAAATATTTTAATTTATACTGTGCAAATGATTCTAACGAATGAATAAGTAAATCTTTTGTTACTTAATAAACTATCTTACTGTTCAATTATATTATAAATTCTTTCAATGTTCTAACTATAAGTTACAATTAGTTTACAAAATAAATGTTATATTGTTTATTCGAGAAAAATTATTTCAAGTAGATAGTTTTTGTTCAATTTAATATAATGTTTAAAATACTTATGGTACATAAAAGAATATACTTAGTGCTATTTCAATTGTAGACGTTTGATGTTATAGATAATATTTATATAAAATTTGATCAATAATTATTTGAAAGCTAACTGTAATATCATATCTGTTATTAAAAAGCTTACTTGTTTTTATTATTAAATAATAAAATTTGATATAACTCCCAAACAAATATTTAATTTTTTTTTCTAGAAAACAAATTATTTGTTTTTACTCACTTCAATAAATTAAAATTTGGTTTATACTTAAGCATTAGAAGCAGCGAATTTTGAAGTAATAAATTGATAGGTGCTTCTCTGATATACCAATAAAAAACTATAAAAAGTAAGAAATTTGATATCTTATAGCTTTTATTAAAATTTAGTAATAAAAATGAAAGTTTTGTTTTCTACCTTAGATTATCAGAGACACTCTAGATAATTTCAAATTCCTGTAAAAATCGTGGTTGAGTATTACATAATTATCAAAACATTATTTGTTTATGATTTAGTATTTTACGTACATTTTAGTGGATAATTAATTTTGCCTTTCTCTAGATAATAATAAATACAATAAATAATGTTACAATTAATTATATACACCTATTGAGCACAGTGTTTTTAATAGAAAAATCTCAATGAGACCTGTACCTTTTAATAAAATAATAAATAAATAATTACTTATTATCTTATCTATGTTCAACGATCAGGAAAATTACAACTTAACAGTAATTTTTATGGCGTAATATATTTTCTTATATGTTTTCATGATTTTAATTTAGTAAAGAACAAATTTTACCGATAAATTTAATTTAATTTCAAATAAAGGCTACTTAAAATTCGTATTTTACGCAGTTATTGTAGTTAAATAGCATTAATTTTATTTTATTCACAATTCTCCATGAAATGATAAAACAGAGTTTCAAATAAATATGAATAACATACAATTTTCACAAACATTAATTTACTTATTATCATTATATCGTATTCAAAATTATTATTAAGTAATACACAAATAAAATTGTATGCTGTTTACATTTTTTATGATGTATTATCTGTATTTATAAATTAATGAGCGTGATTTTAGTGAAATTACTAAATCAACTTGAGCTTACAAAACATTTATTAATACCTGACATAAACACATTAATTAATGTTTGTATTAGTTCTGATTAACGAGTATATATTTACATATTCAGGGTTAGTTACTTGCCAATAAAATAAGCATAGCTTACAGTTTGAAAAAATTCAGTATGGTAATATTTGTCTTTTAAAAATTTAAAATATTTTACAAAGTGGAGCGCTCAGAATTTTTAAATTTTTAATTAGGTTTCAATTTCTATCCTACGTCGTTAGTCATTCCATAGGTGTATTTAGATTTAATTTAATGTCTCACCTTCAAAATATTTGTATAAAAATCAAAATAAATATTTTCGGGAAGGGGCTGTGACAAAATTCCCAGATGCGTCACTAATATAATATGAGACATCTTTTGATACAAATCTGAATCACATTTCCGTACTACTGAATGAATCATTTGTAAGATAAGAATTTCATACCAGGAATTCATGAGTTATAGTGCATGATTAATAATTGAAAACGGTATCGGTATTTCATAACAAATGTCAAAATCCAGTACCAGGAATTCATAAGAACAATAGATGTATGCGATCATATGACGAGGTGATACGAGATGTCCAGTGTTCAGCAAACGATTTTTACGCGGTCACCAATTGGTGGGTACTAATGTTGCTAGCATTGTTCAATAAGATGATGCGAATAATGATATTTTTGGTCGACGATTCTCATGAGTCCCTGGTACTAAAATTTTGTTTGATACCTTGTCTGTACCAGTAGGCCTTTTTACAATTTTGACACGGCCGCCATGAACTGACGAACAACCAGAGTTATGTGTAAGATAACGCGATCAAAATTAAGGTAGTACAGAATTTGACCCGCCACTCAAGTAATACATCAAAACGTCTAATTATTAGGACACCTTGAATTTTTTTTATCACGTTTCACTGGTTAAGTAGGTAACGTGTGCTTTGTAGTCGAGAGAAAACGCGATTGACTTAATTTATGATGATTTACACGATTAATTTATTTGCCAAGCTTGTCCTAACAAGCTTTTACAACTTATTGTAGTATACATTTAAAATGTCGAACTGATTGAAAATAAAAGTCAGTGACATACTCATAATTTTTTCGTAATTGAGTTATACATGAGAAAAATATTTACTATAAACTCCAATTTGTACCTATAGTACGTCAAAATTTTTATGTTAAAGCTTTAACTTCCACCTTTTGTTTAACGATTATTCTCCTCTGCAATCAATTAGACCCAACCATTCAGCCACTTACGGACCTCAAAGTATTTTCAGATAAACTACTCTACTTTAATTAGTCCTAATGGCTTGGATGTTTGGTGAGTGATTCGGAAAAGTGAAAGGTACAGACAAAAATGTTTAACTTGAAAAACATTGGCGTAAGACTAATGGTCACTATAGGGAAATTTTATACAACTGAATCAGTTATTTTATTAATAATAATTAGGTCCGTACATTATTACCACTGCAAATTATTTCTTTAGATGAAAACTAATAATAATCATATTGGGATTTGCAACAAACGATAATTTACAATTAATTATTTTTCAATCTCAGTATTTTTTAATCTTTGAAGAAAATAAATAATTCTCATAACTGAAAATTATTGAGGAACGCTAAATAAATTTCCTTAGTTATTTAAATTTTGCATTTAAGAATCGTGTTTTTCTTATTTTAAATCTCATGTTTAGTTTTTGTTTCGTGATATATTATGTTTGTTTTGCAAATATTTTAACATAAATACAAGAAAACTTGTATAAAATTTTCTTAACTAGTACATACTGATTATTTACGAGTTCACCAAATTAAATTAAACTTCTACTTAATTCACATGAGTATTTAAAGGTGTATGAGGTACGACTTTGCTGTCTTTTAAGCGGTTGTAGTGTTAAAAGTGTGGGTATACGCTCATCAGTTAACAAATTGTTTTAGTTTCAAATTTCATCAAATATTGAAGTGCACATTCACATTCAAGAGTTAGAAAACTTGTAGATACAAAATTCTTTGGGATCCTCTAGGCTGTATGTAAACAAATGAAATTGTGGAGTTATCTATTTAGTTTTCCCATGAGAAACCCGTGCCACTATTGCGGGATTGCTTTGGAAACCAACAAAATTACCCTTATACTAATGCATGTCCATATTCAAACATATACATTTGGGTAGTGTTTTCATTTCTATTTATTTAAAAGTCAAACAACAGCCATCGAAGGATTTGACTCACATTTCGTGGAAGGAGCAGTATTAAAATGAAAAAACCGGATGTGCTGTTTTGAAATAGATAGTAAAGGTTATGACAGTGAGTAAACGTTTTATCTTGGGTAATAATTTAGTATGCGTTGTGCAGATTTCTGTGGCAAGTTGTTTTTTCATGGAAAAGCTACTCGCTACGACTATTTAAAATTTATATACATTCCAAAGAGTATGACACAATGTCGGTACTCTGATACCTTAAAATATATAAATCCAACGATGTGCTGATCAACGATGGAATACCAATGACGGTTAAATTCTGGGTAGTGTGTATATAATAATAATGCACTGAGATACACATAGTTTAGCGTTATACTCTGTTATAGTTTTTCATTAGTTCCTATATTTTTTGAACTGACCGTATCCTTTAACCTTAATAATGACAGTAAATATATAAATTTAAGCCAGTGCTCCGTATAAAGAATGTGATAGCATAACCTGTTAGTATTGAGTTTTGTTGTAAATTAATAAGAATTAAACGAGGAAATTTACTTACACTATTAGTTTCTAATTTTTTAATAGGTTTGGGATATTATATTCGTTATAATTTTATTAAATATATATATATTTAATTATAAACTGATATAAGAATAAAAAACACAATTTAAATATTTAACAACTGTATAACAAATAAAGACTTAACATGTATATGTGTATAATATATAAGAGAATACTAAAAAATTTAGAACTTTTAGAGTAGATTATAAAATACTTAGGTCAGAAATCTAAAACAGTAAAAACTTTATGATACTATTTTATGTTTTTATAAACTAGTGGGAGGTTAAGCAATGTTGATACATTGCAAAGTGGGTCAATGCTTAAAAAGGATGTACCGTCATAATAGTTTGAAATAGGTGGGTAAAGGTCTATAAAAAACTGAAATTGTAAAATTGACCAATAGTTGCATCTAAACTATATACTATTATTTCAATATAAAAAGGGGTTAAATACATCACTTGCTTATTACATTGATATCAATTTTATCCTAAAAAATATTATTCACTAATTTGAACTCAATGGTGTTATATTAGTTATATTTGATAATAACTTTACTTCAAATTGCAACAAAATATTTTTAAATTGATGTTTTCTATAGTAAAATTCAATACAACAATATGGTTATAATTTTGGAGCTGTAACTATAATTTGGAAGATGAATTATAAAATTAGCTCAAGACGTCAAAACAAAATCCGATACAATCTAAAAATATTTTTTATTTTTTATTTGAATGGTCTTTGCCGCATATGATTTAATTCATTACCTACCTAAAATCGTAATATGCTTAAAAATGTACAGATAACCGTATTTAAGTCAACAATAATAAAAACATAAAAAATTAATATTTTTCAGTTGTTGATTATTTTATTCCAAATCATAGATATATATATTATTTTTTATAATTTTTAAGTAAAAATAACTTAGACATTGAAATTTTACTAAAAAAATAACCCGATAAAAGGAATTTTGATTTGAAGCTCTAAGTGTGTTTTATTAAATGTTGCCACGTTTTTTATTTTTTACTCGAGGTAAATTCTAAAAGATTTTGAAACCGTGTGTTTTGCATGAAAAACTACCATCGTTGAGCCAAACTGGACTTCTGCCAATCCTTTAGACTCTTTTGTCTCCGTTTTGTACGACCCTTGTTCACCTCACTCATAATACCTTACGTGAAAATAGAGCTGGCTGAGTAAAACTGAACGGTATATTTCTCAAGTGCCTTCTCCGATCAGTATGTGATGCGTTAAATGGCCGGGAAAACCGCTTTGCCATCGTATACCGCAAAAAATAGTTAGGCGGTATACTCATACTGTATTATACGTATACAAAAGTATAAAAAAAGTAGAGCTTAAGCGACCGAAAAATATTATGGCGCGTTTCCGTACAACATTATATCGTATAGGACTTACGTAACACAGTAATGTATTAATTTCCCGCTTAGTTTACTTATAGATTCAAAAAATTATATATTCACAATTTTTAACTGCTCCTAAAAACCCTTAGACTTAATTTTGATTTTCAAAAATCCATGAATAAAATCTAGTAATTTGGCAACTGTTGAAATGTGCATTAAAAATTAATGGTGATAAACTTTTATTAAAGTTTTCTTAAATTATTTAAACTCTTTCTCAGTTTTTCATATACGCAAAAAAAAAAACTGTAAAATTAACAAATATTATTATTGAATTAATATTATCCTTGTTAATCTTGGGCAACAAATAAAGAAGATTTTTGGTAAAAATAAAAATCATTATTAATTTACTAAAACTCCTGATTAGTTCAAAATATATGATTTGTCATTGTTACCAAATCATACTAAATAGAGCGTTTGTGAAATCAATAATTAATTGTTCTTCATTCTAAAAATTATTTAAAAACAGTGATGGCTGGTGGCCATTTTGGATATTGAACATTAGTCTGTTCTACTTGTAATATTCCC